AAAAATGCAACTCTCAGTAACAGCTTTTAAGGTTTTTTTTCAACTGGTACTGAGGCAATGCCTGGAAACTTGGGTATGTGGGATCAAACTGCAGCACTTCAGTTTGTCAAGGAAAACATCGCACACTTCGGCGGTAATCCAAATCGGATAACAATTTTTGGTCTTAGCGCTGGCGGCGGGTCCACGAGCATTCTTACACTGTCTCCTCACTCACAAAGTGATGAGCCTGACAAAAATTTCTACCACATTTTTTAGCAGTAAACTTCTAAATTTTTGGTTTTCTGTAAAGCATTTTTAATGATAGTTCTCTGTGCAACTGGAAGTAAATAATTTAGGCTTTTTCGCAAATAGCATACAGATGAGTGGAAGTGCTTTCGCTGAGTGGTCCCATAGCGAACTGGTTGATGATGCTAGTCTTGAACTGGCTAGAAGCGCAGGTTGTTTATCAGAAGACATAAACACCCTGAAGCCATGCTTAAAAAATAAAACAATTCAAGAATTGCTAGATGCTTCAAATAAAACGGTAACAGTCCAAATATCAATCTAACTTAGCATCAAGCCTGAAAAAGCGTAATAAAAAAATGCAATAAATTAGCAGTACTTGAAGTGGGCTAAGTCAGCATTTGATATTATATGTAAAAAATAGTATAATCATCTGATAAAATTGTAGAAGCTTAATCTAGGGTTCATCTCGTGACAGCATCAAGCTTATCAAGTACGGACCCCGATTAGATGGTGACTTCTTACCAAAAGACTTGGAAAGTCTGGTCAGGGAAACATCGAAAAAACCAACAATTATTGGAACAGCAGAAAAAGAAGCTATACTTTTTGGTAAGTTGCTTTCTTTATGATGTGCAAAGAAAAACTCTTCTCGTGCATAACTTTTTCATGCTTAAGTTTTAGAGACAGTAGGACTTGTTTCGTACTTAAGAGTTTTTCGTTTTGCTGCAGATGAATACTAGTTGTGTGTGGCTGTCTGTAACGAGTCTCACGCATCAAAGATTAGTTAACTGCTGACTACTTTCAAAATTCTTGCTTATAATTTGAAAAAAATATAGTTTAATAGTTTATTTTTTTCCCTCAACGTCGTAATAGAATGCCTCAAAACGGCATACTTTCAGGTGCGATGTGTATAACTGCTTTTTATTGCAGCTTTTTATGCAGCAGCCAACGCTGTTTCAAACCTTCAAATACCCGCGCAAAGTTACGCAAATTACAGTCGCGATAGTCTAGTAGAATTTATCAAAACTCAAGTGGCAACAAAAGGAGATTTAAATAACCAGGCAGAAGAAGTCCAATCAAAAATTATTGCATTTTATGCTGACTCAAAAGATGGAGTCACACATGATTATAAGTACTGGTTGGAGAAGTATACTCAGGTAGGTGGTTATCAACAGCTGTCATATTTGTTTGCTTTTAGTGAAGAAAACCTTAATTCTCTTGAATTTTTAAGTATTTCTGCATAAATTAGTGATACCAACTTTTGTTACCTCTAATGCTTTTTATTTATGCGCTCGCTTAAAGTTAAATTTTTTTTTTGCAAATATTCAAATAAAAATTATGGTTTGACTACTCGTACTACGAATCCCGCTGTAGCTTTTCATTGCGAGATTGCTAAAATTATTCAATCACTTCTTTGGTGATGAACTCTTTTAACGCTTTTAAGTAGCTGCAACTTTATTTTTTATTTTTAGTTAGTCAGCGACGTTATGTTTGTGATGGCATCTCGACGAGAAACTGAGGTGAAGATTCAAAACGACTGGCCTGTTTGGCTCTATTTAACAGATTATTACAGTCCAGTTCTCTACGATCAAAGCATTCCAGTAAAAGGTTTGTTCTTATTTGCCGCTGTAAATAAAAAAAAATAAAACCGACATAGTAATCAAGAAGAGTAGCCCATATTCGTCTTATGGTCTTATGGTTTGCAATTCAAGGCGCAACACACGCAGGTGAAGAAATATACATGTTCAATAATTTCGCGCTTCGTCAATACCAGTTTGACAACAATGACATTATGATGCAAAATGCAATCCTGGATTCCTTGACAAATTTTGCAAAGAAAAGGTGTAACCTTTTTAATTTGGAAATTAAATAAGATTTAAAAAATTTTGATTTGGTAGGTAAAGAAAGAGCTAATTTGCGGCAAGATAAACTCTTTATATTCATACAAAAGTGGTCACTCAACATAAAAGGCGTTTCAAAGTAT